ACCAAAGGAATCAGAGATATATGTATAGAGTATATAGAAGTGTTTTTTGCATGCTGGACTCCTATATTTTCTTCCTTGGATTTTGTTAAGACACTATTTATTTATTCAAAATCTGTGGTACTGGGAATTGAACTCATAACCTCACAGTTGCCAGGCAGGTGCTGAGCCACTGAGCTACATCCCCAGCTGGATTTTGGTTAGGAGAGGTTTTACAACCATAAAGCATTCAGCTTAGAACATTATTATAAAACCAAGTCCCAAGTCCTTGGGACAAGGAGGGCGGAGCACCAGCGCTGCCCATAGAGCTTGAGCCCTCTAGCCAGCCCAATTTAAGAAGGAAAGAATAATGAGGAACAAAAGGGACCTCTCCCCACCAGAAAGGTGTCTGCTCACGAATCCCACTGCCCAACACCCGCCCAATGTGACTGCCGCACAGGCGACGGCCCCGCCAGTCAGCTCAGTGAAGTCCTGCCTCGGCAGCAGTGCCTTCTGCCTCCCAGAGGACAGAGCCATTTTCTCCGTCTCCCTTGCAATTGGCATGAGAAGAAGCCAGCTGGGCTGGGGAGTCCGTGGAGGGTGTTCAGCATGTCTACCCTGTTACTTAGGCTCAAGTCCCTGAAAGTCCAGGAGAAATTGTGCGTCACTATGAAGGCATACCTTTTAAAGCCCTTAAAAGAGGGCCAGAGCAGTCTTATTTTAAAAGGTCTCCTGGTTTTGCCTGGTGTCACCCACACTGATTACACGGGGTGATTATAATCAAATTTATAATTCAGTTTACTCAAAACATTGTTCAAATCACCCGACTCATGTACTGCTCAACTGATTATTCTTTCACTGGTAAAAACTGGAAAATTCACAGCTAAGAAAAGGGAATTCAAGGCTTTCAGATCTTCTCACACACACTGGGTTCAACAGATTAAACAAAAAGTGCCCTGAGATGGACTCGACTATTAAAGGGAAAATATTCAAAGGGCTTTTAGACACAGGTGCAGATGTTTCAGATACTTCCCAACAGCACTGGCCTCCAGCATGGCCTCTGGGTGCAGCCACTATGGCCTTCGGGCAGGTGGACAGTGTCCCTCGCCCTAGCAAAAGTGCTAAATCGCTGACCTGGAAGGATGCAGAAGGCTGTTCCGGGCATTTCTCGACTTATGTCCTTCCCGATATATGGGTCAATCTATGGGGTCGTGACGCATCCCAGGCTACAGGGCCCTTTTGGTTGGACCTAACTCTTTAGTGACTCACCAGATGTTGCAACAAGGTTTCATTCCCACTCAAGGGCTTGTTAAAAACAATCAAGGAAGGAAAGAGACTTTCCTAGTTGTTCCTGAAAGGAGTTCATTTTGGCATAGGCTACTTGTCCTTTCATTTTCAGGAGGGGCCCTTATCTCTTCTCCAACCCCATGAAAGGCGTCCAAAATAACCTGGATTTCTGATGATCCTGTTTGGGTTGACCAGTGGGCCCACACTCAGGACAGACTCAGCTCATATGCTAAGGAATAGATACAGCATCTACAATATTCCAATAGCCTCCAATTTTTGTAATAAAAAAATAAAATCAGGAAAATGAAGATTACTACAGGACTTGTGGACAGTCAATCACACCACAGAACTTATGGAAGCACTGCACCCAGGCCTGTCCAGTCATGTCCTTTGCATTTTTCAATTATGGTGATATTTAAGTAAATGATTTAAAAGACTGTTTCTTTTTTATCCTTCTCCACCCTCAAGATATCAATAATTTTGCTAGGGCTAGCGAGATAGTTCAGTGGACTAAGAGCCTGCTTAGGCAAGCACAGAGACCAGGGTTTGATCCCCAGTACCGAAGGCCATGCCAGTCCTGCCCCCTAGGCACGCTGAGCTAGAGACCAAGTTTGGGTGTGGAGACACACACCTATAATCCCAGTGCTAGGATGACTGAAAACAGGAGGATCACTATGAGTCCAAGCTTCACAATGAGACCCTGTTCAAAATACATTTAAAAAAAAAATCATTTTGCTTTCAGCTTACCCTCTATTAAAAATCAGGCTCCAGGGCTGGTGAGATGGCTCGGTGGTCTAGAGCACCTACTTGGAACAGGCTTGGCTAAGGCACAGGGACGACAGTTCAATTCCCCAGCGCCACATGCCAGCCAGCCCTGCCCCCTGGTGGGCTGAGCTGGCCACACACGCACACACAAATAAATAAATAAAATTAAAAAAAAAAAAAAAATCAGGCTCCAGGCTGGCCAAATAGCTCAGCAAACTAAAGTGCCCGCTTAGGCAGAGCGCAGTAGCCAGGGTTTGATCCCCAGGGCACATTGAGATAGCAACTGAGACTGGACATGATGGTGTGCGCCTGTAATCCCAGTGCTTGGGAGGCTAAAAACAGGAGAATCACTACGAGTCCGATGTGTGTAGTGAGACCCTGTAGCAAATACATTAAAAAAAAAAATCAGGCCCCTTGCATCACTTCCAATGGCGCCGTCTGCCACAGGGAATGGCAAATAGTCCAATCTTGTGCCAAGAGTCTGTGGCTGTAGATGTATGACAGGGCTGTCTGCTTATCTCATTCATTACATGGATGATAGTCTTCTAGCACCTGAATGCTCATCCACCTCATCCACTTCGCAGTGCAGGCCTAGTGCTAGCCCCTGAAAAGGCACAAACTATGGCACCTTTTTCACGTTTGTAACACCTTATTCAACACAGACATACTGAGCCCGACTATTAATCATCTTAAAACCCTAACCAATTTTCAGACTTTACTTTATAACATTGGCTCCACCAGCTCCTAATCTCCTAAGCTAACTACTCATATTTTAGGTCCTTTCAAGAGAAACCTATGGACCAGAGAGATTGCTCAGCAAGGGTCAAGGTTCAGTCCCCAGCGCCACATGCTGCACTGGCCCTGCTCCTGGGTGTACTAAGTTGGCAATGAGATCAGGCGTGGCAGCACACACCTGCAATCCCAGCGCTGGGGAGGCTGAAAACAGGAGGATCACTATGAGTCCAAGCTGTGTAGTGAGCCCCTGTACCAAATACATAAATTAAAAAACAAAAACAAAAAAAAAGAGAGAAACTCAGTCCCTACTTCTCAAAGCACACTAACAACAGAG